AGAAGCCCAAAGCATCGCAATGGCTATCCGACTCTCCAAAATATACTGGAAGAACCTTATACAGTATGTTGTGTTGTCGCCCATGGCTTCGACCAGGTCTTGGATGACATCTTCCTCCAGGGGATGCATTGGAAGGAGACTGCAAAAATCATGGACGCGGGCTGCGAGAATGTTTTATTAGCCATGCAACCGCATACAGTCTCCATGCACCCATAAGCTTCAATCAAAACAACTGTGAAACACGTTGTTCATTCCACGTTGTACCCCAATCGCCTGTCCTGCGGTGGTAAAGATCGATAGGTAAACTTTTTCATTTTCCCAATCAACCTGCGAATATCCCACCCTTCTTGGTGGGCTTGGCTGTTGGTCCGGGGAGCGATAAGGCGATCGATTGGAGGAAGTTGAAGGTCATGAGCCCTCATCAAACCCAATACAGGTTTCAATACATGGGCGGTTAAGGTTCTGGACGGTAGCATCCACGTATTTGCAAGCAACCCCACCTGTTGCCTCATCAAATGCCATAATGAGGTTCTGATCTTCCCTGATGCGCTCCCTGATGGCTGGCACATCATCCCACATATGAGGGAGAACATCCAGGTCATAATCTCCAACGATGGCACCCTTCATCGAACCACCAGGAGAGCTAGCCCTGCTGCCACTTCCCTTTTGGTCTAGACTCCATGGCCTTAGCACTCCAGCGCCCTCATCAGCCGAAGCAAAATGCCATCTGCGAAGGAGCGGCAATGAGTGAGAGCAATGAGGATGAGCTTCGACCATGACAAGTTTTATACGTAGCTCTTTGCAAACAACAGGACTGCTCAATAGGTTGCAGACTCATCCGTGGTATCGGCTATCATTGCTTTCAACGTGTGCGCACGCATGCATCTTTCAACCACTCACTATGGGCCAAGACATGGGCCAAACCACAACATGATGTAATCCTGCAGCTCCGACTCCAGCACTTAATTCCAAACATGGCAGGGGCACCTTCCACTGTGTAGCCAGTGTGTCGGCCATCCATTGCCACCAAAAAGCGGCCCTATATAATGTCTACATGAGTGCTCGAAGTACTTGGCACTTGGTTTTTGGATTCCATACGTCTTGGCATAGATTGCGTGAAGCATGGGTGCATCCATGGGCCATGAAGCATCTACGGCGCATATACTGTTTTTAGAAAACCTGGCTGAGGGCGTCAGTGTGTGGTGGTTTGGCGGCGGTGATCAGCAACCAACCAAAGTGATTGGGTCCCAATCACAAAATACGATCATGGATGTCTATAAAGTACGCAACTCCACCATGCATGGTCTAGGAGAAAATGGTCATCCTTTTTATGCCTTTGTTTTGGTTGTACACCCAACATCCCCAAATCACATCCAGAATAAGCTTGTTGTTCTCACACAGCATTATAGCTGTACATCATACAATGTTAAAACCCTTGAACGGTAATTTACGTCCCGGACAACTATTCTTGCCCATCTTCCTAATGGTTAACTTTTCTTGATCTGGACAACTATTCTTGTCACGGTGGAGTGCCAGGTAGAGAAAATAGAAGGTGTTATGGAGAAGTAAGGATCTATATAGTGTCCAGATGTGTCCCCAAGTCATCCACTTCTCCCCTTTCCCAAGTCGTCCAGAGGCTGCAAACACCTGCAAATTGTTCGCCAAAACCCCTTCCAGATCCTTCCACTATCGCTTGGGATCCCTGGGGGAAGTACAGGGAAACACCCCGCACTTCCCCAGTGGATGACAGTGGATGACAGTGGATGGTCTATATATGGGGGTGGTGTGGGAGGTCTTTCCTTTATGGGGTTGTAGCCTTCAATTTTATATATACTAGCCTTATGTGGATGTCAGGGACCCCAACTCTATAGAACAAAAACATCTATTTTTCATTGTTTCATACATTTACTGTTTTTTCTCCACTCGACATCAGTTGACCTTCTATAAAATTGATATAAACAGTGAAACACCGTGTTGCAAGTTGCGGCGCTATAAAATCAGGCACCCCTGGGTGGATCAGATGCACCAAGGTTGGCACACATGAATAGTGTGTGTCAATACAAGCAGTCGCTTTCGATGGAGCATTTCGTTGTTTGCACCAACTGCATGGTAAAGAAGAGACGGATGTGGTTGGGATGATGCAAAGTGTTTAAATCGCTTTGCTCAGATCCACAATATTCCGGTCCGAGTTCCTTGATTGATTGCAGAACGCAGCTTTGATCGTTGGAATGCAGATTTAGATGTTCCGATGAGTTGTGGAAGTTTTCGCGCGCAAACCTTTCAGCGTGGGGGATGTGAAGCTCCATCCGCGCTGGATGATGTACGCTTTCTATGTATGCTGAACAGCGTTGCATGGAATCAGTACGACCATAAGTACTCCGCCAGAGTTTAACTCAGTGGGATCCCATATGTAAAGGCCAAGAAATTTGGGGAGCCGAGCTGTAGCATTTAAGCTTTTTTTGGCCATGCATTCAATGCATTTTTGTTGAGGCTGATCACTTTCAGTCAGCAAAGGAATGGACGGATCATCCAATGTATATCACAGATCCACAGGTCCATTAACCGAAGACCCGACACCAGAAACCAGGTCAATCGGGTATGCACCTCGTTACTTTGGCTCAAGTGGAAAAAGAGCGTGAGCGAGTATAGATGCTCTTCATGGTAGCGGAGCTATGGCAGAATCTACCGATCTCGGAGCAGATCCTTCTATGCCTTCTGGTGAACCTGGGACGGCACTGAGGGAGGATCAAATCCATGACTTGGAACAGAGGATCCAAGGCCTAGCTGAAGCCTATGGTTCGTTGGTACCTGCTGCAGAAGCTTTGACTAGCAAGTTGAAGGTAAATGAGTTGCCATCGCAAGGTAGTCCTAGCTGTGGGCCGGTGCAATCACCTCCAGCACCAATGGTTCCAACACCTAGTGGTTTAGATTGCCTGGACAAGCAATGCTTGCCCCAATGCAAGAGAATGGGACATTTGCTTCGATTGATCCTTTGCAACAGAATGATCCATGGCAGAATGCACAAAGAGCTTCTTCTCCCGAAAGGAATCCTTTTGCTAGCGCAAGTGCGACCAATGCCAATATTCCTCCACCAGGGTTGCAGCAGTCACCCAGAGCAATGCAGGACGCAGTTGAGGTTTTTCGTGGAAGTGAGGACCGAAATCCTTTCACACGTTCTGAGAAGTGGATGCCTGCTTTTCCAGTTCCACCACATGACAAGTGCACCACCCGACCAGAGGAAGTAGAAGGGTTCAATAGCTACATACAAAACCTTGCATCTTGGGCCGGCTTAGGAGACAATGAATGGCCAAGAGAGATTCTTTGGTCACTTCGTAGTCCAACAGTCATCACATGGAACCAGATGACCGCAGCTCAGATCACCCGATCTACTCGTTTGCTTTCGTTCTTGAAACAATGCTTTTCAGGACATGCTAATTGTTGTGGACTGTTGTGGATTCGAAACTGTTCGTTTGCTGTCAAGATAATTTTGCATCAAGACCCGAACAGAGCTGATGTTCTTTAGGAACCGAATCACCAGTGGGGTATTCAAATGTCCCACCATCCCTGAGACAGTTCGACAGATCCAGCATGAGCTTTTCAAGTTTGCCCGCATTCAGCAGTTGGTTGATCCAAGCGTGAACAACGCACAACTGGACATCATGGAGCCCGATCAGATTTTGATTCTTCTTCGTTCGTT